GAGCTTTGAATCATTCAGTCCTAAGAACTGGGCTCAGATGCAGATCTGATGCAAGTATTCGGTCCTTTAACACGGAACTACAGTGGTTTTTGCAGATATTCTGTAACTTCTACTGAGTGTCCTTTGTTACACAGACTTCTTTAAAAAGAAATGTTTTTCAAAAGATAAAAATGTGCGTTCTAGATACTCCCATTTTCAGGACATCTCTATTCAATCAGTGTAGCTATGTATTTTGTGCATCTCAATGGAAGAACGCTGTACATAAGTTGCTCCAAAAGTAATGCTTCATGTTTATTTCCATGGAAACCAGAATAGATACAAAGATCACAGTAACACTAATTGATAGAGCAAATTCTCAGCCACAAAACACTATTTTCCAACATAGTCACCACCAGTAGCTGCGTATTTTCACCAGTGACGAACAAGAATGACAATGATTGTCACTGGGTGCCCTCTTTTCTGCATGGCAGAACGCACTGACACACCTTTGCTTCATACACACTTCCATGGCAGATGCCATTGTGTCAGGCTGCCCCTCTGCTGCCACCTGTCACACGACAACACAATGTAACAGAATACTGATGTGCAGGTTCAGCCTCTAATGCCATCCCACCAACGTCTGCCTCTGATGTCTTGGGCTAGTGTAATAAGATAGGAGGCATTACTTTCAGAGCAGCCCTCATATATCTTTAGTCCACAGCTGTCCTCACACTCTGTTCAGTTCAGCTGTAATACTGAAAATTAACATGTGTCCACAGACAAACCGATGCAGTAGCCACCACATTGTCTCTCTAGACACAGTAAGTCTTGTTTTCAGGAGACCAGAACTTCATCTTTGTTCAGGATAGTGCCGGCCACATGAGTAACTTTGCTGAAACTGGGTGAAGTTCTCTATCTTCTAGCACTGTGACATCACCAGCTGCACAGCTGAAGTGACGTAACACAATTAATAATTTGTAGTTCAGGTAAAATAGGTGCCCTTCCTCAAATGCATCACCAAGGGAAAGCTCAGTAATGTTTATGAATCTCAGAAGCAATTGCCTTTCGTTGTTTTGTATGCTATATCAAATTGGAAAAGCAGTCTTGAACATTTTCACACTGAAAGAATTCCACCTAGCAATCTGTCAAGATAATCCCCACAAAATCTATACAGTAAAAAAGGTTGGCTTTGTGCATTTTCCTATCTTACTTAAAAACTCTTCCACATAATTGGACAAGGCTTCTGGCAGAGCCACCATTCTCTAAAGGCATTATACCTATTGTGCTGTTTCACATCCAAGTAGAATGCACAAAGCTTTATCAAGTACAGCGGCAAAACGATACAATGCAGCATAATGTGGTTTTGGAAGGATTAGCAAGGCTGAGACAAAAGCGTCAGTCTCTCATGCAGTCTGAAAAGAACCGCCAAGAGAAAGCCACACGTTTAAGACGTTGGTCTAAGAGGACAAAATTCTGAGCTCTGTGACATGTCAAATTCTTTAATCCTGCTTATCCACTGCTGTTCATTAACAGCAATCCAATGTGATTTCTCAGAGATACTTCTTACATGATAAGGGGTTTAAATTACTGTAATTTAAATAATTATTTAAAGCGTCTTTTCTCCTATACTTTTTTCAAGAAAAACTTGGAAAAAACAGTAGAAATTTTGGCACAAAAAAAATACGTTATGAATGTTACAAAAATAACTTTTTCTATAAGACATTTCCTTACGCAGAACAACTCTTGACAGGACATAGATTTTACAACTGCAGTGCACTACACTGATCATCTCCATGCAGAAACCGAAGTCTAACAAGCTCTCTACACATCAAGCTGTTTCATCTGCAGGTACGGCCTGACCACATCTTCTGTGAGGACACACTGAATGCATAAAAGAACATAGCAGAACACCCCACACTATTATAAGGTCCAAAGAGCCTCTCAGCCAGGAGGGAGCAAGAGCACTTCCTGCAGCAAACTGCTGCTGCCCTTTTCACACATCACTAATGAGCCGTTATTTCTTCCCCTTCTTATGCTCTTATCCTTATATCCTAACATCTAGCTTCAGAGCACGAATGTTACCAGAGGTGCTTAAGCAGTGAACTGGTGATAAGTGAGCAACCTCTGTATTAAACACCTGTACTTGCCCAGTGCTCATCAGCTCTTCACTCCAAATAATCTATGCTATTCACTTTAATATAAACAGGAATCTATTTTTTGTTTGTTTGTTTGTTTGTTTGTTTTTGTCATCTTCTCTTTCTCAGTCACAAGGAGTTAAGGGATTGGAGAAAAATAAACGAAGAAAAAATAAGTCATTTCCAGATCCCAAGTGAAGATATACAGAGTCCCTCTTACAAATTCAGAAGCTGTGATGAACTTCAATTCCCACTACAATACCACAGTCAATACACAGGCAATACTCTAGCCCTCCATAGCCTGCTGTATGTACATAAACACGGTTTTTTAAGTGCAGGACTTCATTTAGGATGAGAAAATATTTAGAAGTATGAAATAGAAAATCCTACAAAGTCTAAAACAGAAGTGTTCACTCCCCCCCATCCTTTGAAATCCCACAGACAGAATAACACTCTCTTTTACTGCCTGAAGTTCCATCTATAGGTGATTTTCTTCACAGCAGCATCAATCATATATATGAATGCAAAATTCCTGTCCTGCAAGGTAGATCAAAATTAAACATTTCCACAGTTCAGATTAATTAGGCCTGAGAATGCCTCCATAGTTTGAGATTTAGCAAATATTTTTCATCTAGGTATTTGGGAATATTATCTTTTGACAAGATATTTTCCCTCTGACATTACAGCTTGTCCTGTACTAACTGCTATCTTCTCCTCAGGCTCTGGGTGCAAATCATGTCCTGATGTTCTGCTTTGGAAACAAAGAGAGCCTGCTCTTTTCCTACAAGGCTGGGCTCTGGAATGCTGTGTGGTCCCTCCTATCACAGCTATGAAGGAGAGTAGGGAATAGTAAATGATATTAAATACTGACTTGCTTAGGGAGCACATCTGCGTCTGGCGTTTTTAGGAGAAGCCTTGCTAAGCAGTAATTATGGTCTGGCAAAGTAGCTACCAGGCCCAAAGGCCCAATTCTCAGACAGAAGCAACTCAAAGAAACTCCTAGGAAGAAGCTATGTGGGTTGGGTGACAATTATTTGTTCCTGTGAACTGAGATAAGCAGTATTAAAAACAAATACGCCAGCCAAATGAAAAGGGCTGTTAGGAAAAAATCTGAGGAAAGAGAACAGAAGCTCCCACCCCAATTCATTCCCTGCACGAAGCTGGGATGCAACACAAAGTTCAGGACACTGCATGAGTACACCACCTACCACCTCATCCACTGCTTTGTTAGTGCTAGGTATTTCATGCAGGGGTTGACACCACTGTGTTATGTTTTATAAAGTTCTTTTCCTGGAAGACAGTATGCAAACTGGAGGGCCTTCACCTATCATCTGCTTCATTGCTATTTGCCTTGAAATTACACAAGCAGATAATCACTGAATGAGATCAGGCACACTGCTGTATCAAGGATGGAACTCAGTGGCGCATAGGCAGAAGGAAAAGCAGAGTCAGCAATTCAGTCTTTTAAAATACTAATGCTCTTTCCCTGTAAGTCTAATTACCACAGTTCAGTGCTTAATTAAAGCAAACTAATACATTCAGATCTGTTTTTCAAGCACCAATCTTCCAGTGAAAATCTTTAATCTTCTTTATCATGTAGTCTATTCTCCCTCTCCCTGCAAGGCCTCCAGTTTACAGAACCAATTTTTCCACTAGGATCACACCATAGTGCAGAAAGATAGGGCAGCAGACAGCAGATCAAGGCTGCCCCGGACTATAACCTTCCAGTTTTGGAATACAAAAGACCTGAATACCAGGGAGGCATTTGAGATCACACCTAAGCACAATATGCATCACTGAAGTAACGTTTACCTTTATAACAGAAATTGTGATGAAGTGGAACACTGAGAACTAGGGTCAGTTCTAATTTCTACACATCTTTGGGCTGAAAATACAAGGAGTATGAAAATCCAAATAAATGCTAGCCTTAAATTCACTTCTGGCAATCCTTGCAGGATTCTTCTGTCAACGCAATGCAGCTACTATCTGAATTTTACCAAAAAAAAAAAACAAAACCAAAAACCTACACATAGTAAGTTGCTGTTTTTACTTTGAACACTATCTTTCCACCTTGCACTGAACCTCTATCATGCAAGTCATTAAGCACTGGTAACAGAAGATCTGCCAGTGTCCTCATCCATACACAGAGACACATGGCCAGGTTAGAAAAGCATTTATACATATAATATGGTTCCTTCTTTAACAGGAAAATGAAAAGAAATGATATCCTATGGAAGGATATAACAAAAAATGCTAAATGAGTTCTCTTCGTTTTACTCAGTACATTCTCTATGTAACTGCCAAGCTGATTGCCTGTATGTGCATCTGTTTATGCATGATTTCAAGTATTCGTATCTGTGGACCGTTCAAGATTAAATCAATTGGAACTTAACAGTAATCCTTTACCTCCCCACAGCAGTCTTTAATTAGAACACTGTGGGTGTTTTGGAGCTTGTGTTTTGTTTGTCAAAACAAAATCTGAAGCCTTAGGACTTGTAACAAACTCGACAAGAAAAAAAGAATTAATTTTTATTCTTAAAAGGCAAGGAATTGATGTTTTGATAAAAGAAGAAAGGATAAATATGGCAAAATGTGTAATTAATGAAAATGAGCAACTTCCTTTCTCCTATACTGAAGGATAACAGAAAATAACAAGCATGACATGAAGTAAAGAACGAATTAGACACAATCTCAATAGAGAGAAGTTTACCCTCATATTGTAGGCCAGAAAGCACAAACAGAAAAAGGAGAAAAAAGAATGTTCTTTTTATAAAAAAAAATTCCTACGGAGAACATCAGCTGATAGTTGCTGGGCACTAATTTACAAGATTACAGCTAGAATACATCCTGCATTCAGCTAGCTTATATAAATTGATTACCTTTTTCCTTACACTGATGAAATTCCAGGAGTTACAGCTATTCATGGTCCATAGTTCTGTAGTTACAGCTATTCATGCTCTGTATAAGGAGAGAGATGAAGGGCAGAAAGTATTTTTATTATTTTCTCTATATGTTGTCTACAGTGTTCCAAATACTCATTTATTCAATCAAATTTTTTTGCTTGTCATGCCGGAAGTCTGAAAACTGCCAGTGCAGCTTAATGAAGAAAGTCTCTGTTCTCCCACCTTCATGTGAAAGATGCAGAAAAAAAAACTGTTAAATTTTAAAGGCTGAGCTGGCTGTGGTCTAAACTGGAAAACAGGTTTGTGCGTAGTAAAAGGAAATTGTTAGATGCTTTTGAAATGTTCTAAGTTAAATGGCTCTGGTTCATCTCCTGGCAGACATTAGAACTTATCTCCCATTCTACACACAACTGCATGTAGACCATGCAGCTTCCAGCTCTGAAGGAGTGTGAAGCATAATAATATCCAGGATAAAGCTGGGTATTGGCAAAATGCTTTGCTCTGCTAGGTGCTATTCTGACCAAAGCTGAAATTCACCAGCACAGAAGCGCTCATACACTATTCATCTACACTTTGTCTGCCCTATCTCTCTAAAATATTTTGTCCCTCTGCCCTAAAAATAACTCTCATTTGGCAAAGATTAACCCATTAAAAACAGATGGATGAGCAAGCATGCAAATATGAGAAAGTACAAGTTATTCTGAGTTCATTTCTAACGCTGAGATTAAAGTAAACACCACTGTATTCCAATAGTTAGAAATAGCATTTTATAGCAACTGCAAGTCATTCAAACTAAGAATGCTGGCTGGGAGATTTTATGACAACTGTGTCCATAGTGGCATAGGGCCACTATGCTACAGAAATAGTCCCTGAAATATTCGTTGGTAGCTCTTCATTACATTAAAAATCAAGGAAATAAAGATCCATATTACATTGCTTATGAGTTGATATGAAGGAGATGATTACACACACACGCTTTTATTTGCTCAATAAAAACAAGTTACAGAAAAAGGAATGGAAATGCATAGCCTTCCAGTCATAACAATCTTTTAGCAAATCGTCTATTTTATCTCACAGAATTCTAATTCACGATATAATACAAATAATCTGCTATACAGATAATAGCATCAGCCATTATTTAAAAACAAATATAAATATCACAGACACAAATTGTATGGATCCATGCACTGACTCAGGTTTTTTGCTATTTCACTTTTTTTTGTTGTTTTTGTTTTTTTTTGTTTTATTCACAGATGTATAACTCTTTTTTTTAACTAAAATTGCAAATTGTTGGAAAACAAACAGAAATCATATTCAGAATTCCTGATCTTAAATAAGATGGAGTGTTAGCAGGCAGGGTTTAGCATGATATATGCCTCAGAATTCCTCTCTACATCCCTTTGTATCCAGATCAATGGTCTACACTCAACCTGTTTTTATTTGCAAAGCAGCCTACAAATTCTTTGTGATAGGGATAAACATACCATACCTAGAATTCAGACTCTGACAAAAATAGAAAGAGAGAAAATAAATCCCAGATACCGTAAGTTTATAGATCCTAATGTCGTTGTCAACTTCAACATAAAGTATATGTAGGAATTCTACAGGTATATTCATTTGTACATATGCAAATAAATACATGAGTATGCATGCACGTATGTACAGAGCATAAGCTCTTCCTTGCCATATCATGTGCCAAAACACCTCTTATACCAGAATATGCAAGACATGAACACAGTGCTCAAGCAAAGACCTTCTCACAGCATGTGGAGGACCTTTGTATGCAGGACTTTTGTCCTCATAAATGAATTCCACCATGAGGCATCCATGGACATATAGGACTGATTTTTATGACAACTCTACAAAAAAAAAAAAAAAAAGAACTTTCTGTCAACTTCATTGTCAAAGGATTCCTGAACACTTTTGAAGCTCATTAGCTGAGTACGCTGTGTATTAAGAATGATAAAATATCAGGAAAATAACTTCTAAGACAAGGAATTTAATGACACTGTCCCCACCAGAACTTGTAAAAAAATAAAATTATATATATGTAACTTCACTATCTTGATGGGAAGTAGACATCCAACTTTATCAAGTGCATCAAAAAAAAATGAAATTGAAAATTCCTGGACAGATATTTAATACCAGATCCTGAATTTACTTTTTTAAAAATCCAGATAAAGTCAAAAGTGCTTATGCATAAAAAAGGCAGTTATGGATATGCAGTACAGAAATTTAGATCAGGATTATTAGGATGCAAGTGATGCACAGGACCTGGGGTTTCCTTACTATCAACATGGTCATATTTTGAGCAATATCATGTTTCCTCAGGGATCTATATAAATCAATGGGAGCATCAACTAAGGAAAGCTCTGCTCACTTGATCTCGCCTCCATTGTAAGTAGACCTCACATTTACTGTAACAGACAGCTTCAGGCATAATCTCTTTCTTCATTTCATCACTGCATTCAACTTTCTAACAGACTTAATTCTGTAAGGGTGAGAAATGAATGTAACAACTTACTCTAGAAATATCTTTTCAATGCACTTATATTACATACAGCCTATAAGTTAGTTCATGTGTGCTAATAAATTAAGCTTCAGATCACGGGAGTACTAATCTCTATTTATTTCTTACTTTCATCCAGATACAACAGAAATGCTTGAACAAGATTGTTCTTTACATATAAGCACATCAGAAAAGTTAAATACTAGAATTAACTGATTAAGAAATGAGGCCAAACTGCCTTAATAAATATCTTAAAAGAAGTCAGTGGGGAATCAGAAAAATGGGCCACACTTCACATCTAGTTTTCTAGCTAATGTATGTAAGAGCAGCTCTAAGGAAGCCTATCCCAGCTGACATGCTAGGTCTCTGAATTAACCCTACTCTCTACTGAATAACTCTATGATATGTAAATGAAATTTTCATCATGCTATCAGGTATTATACCAACAAGTAGACATAATTTTAATATATTTATTTTTAACATGCTGTTGTCTTCTATCAGTACTGAAAATGTGAAAAACATGCCACTGTAGAAAAGCTGTTTATATTGTTATGAGGAAAAAATTGGAAAGAATCAACCAAAAAAAACCAACACAGAGTCAGCATGTAATTTAAAAATTATTGCAGAAGCCATTCTAAGAAACAAGTATCGTACTTGAAGTAACAGTTCATTCCTCAGAATATTGATATGACTGCTGAGTGGACACCCAGAAACAATCTGTCTGGTCCTGGATTTTGTCTCCATTGTGATATTCAGGGTTAAGGAGCATACATACTAACATGGGAAATTTCAGTGTTACTGGCAGTAATTGGTTAACTTGAATTTGCCATGTGTAACTGTAGAATAATACATCATATCTTTCATTTCTTAACTCCTACAAACTTCAGACTTAACATTATACTTTGTCAAAGTATTCCATCAATTATTTTTAAATCCAATCATTTAGTAATCACTTTGTCATAAAAAAACATTCAGTAAAGTCAAAAATAATTTAAGCACAGCAATTATATGTGTCATTGTAAAGATCTGAGCTATTTTTTAAATGCAAAACAAAATCAGAGAACCCTTTATTTTTATTATTTTTTTTAATCAATGCCTGAAATATATGGCTGTGTATGGGCTACACTTGGTGCTGTTACACTAAACAGATCTACTCAGATATTTAATAAATTGTAAGATTCTCCCAATATGTTATTGCAGAAGGGTAATTCAAATATAGCATTTACAAGGAAATCAATGATTGGTTTGAGAAAAAAGCTTTCTATCAAAATGAGAAGTGTATGACTTTCAATAAATTTAACAGTTTTTTAGCTTTTTAATAACATTACATTTTTATCCAGAAAACCAATATATCACTCACATTCAATTGTCTGTAAGTTTGCTTATATTTATTCAACTCCAGAAGTACTGAAGTAATGCTGTTTATTAAAACAAAAAAACTAACCAAAAAAAAAAAGGGGGGGGAGAGAAAAAAAAAGCATCCTCCTTCATCATAATAGAGGACTTTAAAGGTTTGAAGGAAGTGTTTGTCTCTACTCATCAGGAGGCCACACCTGGATTACTGTGCTCTGTTTTGGGTCCTCTAGTACATTATGAGAACACTCAGAAGCTAAAGTTCAGAAAAGACAGTGGTATGACAGAGCCATGTTCCTTCAGTTCACTAAAAAATGAAACTGAATATTAGCAGGAAAAAACGTAATGAGGGGGAAAAAAACGTAATGAAGCTAGCTAAGCATTTCTACAGATTGTCCAGATTCCCTAATCCGAAGAGTCTCAAAAATCAGCTGACAAAGGATCTGCACACTTAGAGAAGCTGGCCCTGCTTTGCAGGACTATATAGCCTCTGTTGGACCTTTGCTACTTTTTTTTAATGTGGTTCTAGAATTTCAAACTGTCATGGAAAAAAAAAAAAAAAGAAATGAGAAGTGCTGCCAGTTCAGAATGACATGGAAAAAATATTTTCTTTTAAGATTTTATATAAATTGCCACCTTAATCTTTGGAAAACAAATTAAAGTACATGTAGCTATAGTGGCCACACAGTACTGACATAATGCTGTAAGACATGAACCTCTAGACAAAACCCAGTTTATTTCTAAACAGTAATACTAATACATAATTAAATCCATATGGCAGTGACATTTTGAGAGAAGACTGAGACTGATAACTTGTATAGTGTATGCTGACAAAAGGTAGATTTGTATGCCTTATTGTCATCTGAAAATTCAAGTTGAACATATCAGTAGTGATGTGAACCTGACCTATGATCAGTAGATCATAGTTATTGTGGTATTAGTTGTACATACACTTGCAGTCACCTTTTCTATTTCATGTGAATTTCCAATGTCATGAAAAGTCAGGGAAGCCTACAGTGTCAGGGCTACCTTGAATTACACCTGGAAAAACAGAATTATTAGGCTACATCTTGGAAGAATCCTAATTTGAATCTGAAGTAATTTACTTGTGAGAAAAAAAAAAAGGAAAAAAAAAAAAAGGAAAAAAAAAAAAAGAAAAAAAAAAGACGAGTTACCTTAAAGGATGGTCTACA